TTACGGTGACTGGTCCTATCTGAAGCCAATTCTTTGAGGCAATACTATGCCTTAAAGCCCAGGCCAGAATTTCACATCAGCCCTTCCCCAGTCCTGACATTATCCACCAGATAAAAGGCAGATACTTGCTATGTTTTACAAGTTTCTTGTCTGTGTCATATGCCTCATTCTGTCCTTAGATACAAAGAGGGTTGAAAATAGGATGTTTGGGTTAAAAAACAGGATTGAAGAAAAAACGAATAATATTCAGAAAAGAATGTGCCAAGTGGACATATTTCTCAAGGAACCCTACAGATGAGATTTGAAAACCTGGCTCATTTCGTGATTCATTAACTCAAAGGCTTTAAGGACGTATTTCAGCTGGTAGAGGAAGTTCACTTGAGGATCACATCTTGAGAGTCAAGTTGAAGATGAAAGATTAAACGAGGCTACCCTTTAGGACCAAGTACTTCCTAGAAGGGTAGAGCTGGAAGAGGATTTACAAGCCATTTCATTTCAGTCTTCTCAGGAAACTGAGGCTCATAGGAGTCAAGTGTCTAGTTTGAAGAATTATGGGATCTTAGAGTAAGAAGGAGATCTTGTAATTCATCACCTAAGGGAAGAATACCTTCCAGAGTATCCTGAAAAATGGTAGTTCTAGGCTATGTAGATATATCCAGGAACCAGGAGATTAACCTTTGATGAGCAGCTGTAGCTCTCATTGCTAGAGAATTATTTACATTTCTGGGCCAAATTCTGCTTCAGTGTAACTTGCACCCATTGATCTTGGTTCTCATGCCTTCCCTTGGTTATTCTTCTCCAGGAGAAATGTACCCAGCTTCTTCAGGTATTCCTAGACTAGGCGGGGCTTCAAGCCCAATTGCCATCTTGGCTGCTTCCCTCCAGATCTTCTCTCATTTATTAATGTCCCAATTAACAATTGGGGTCCAGAATAGAACAAAATATTCTAGAGGTAGGCTGGCCTAGACATAGTAGGTTCCATAGGACTATTTGTTTCCAGTTCTGAACAGTATCCTGTCAAGAATGCTGAAGTTCTCCTTAGTGTTTTTGTTTTGTTTTGAGACAGGATCTCACTCTGTTGCCTATGCTGGAGTGCAGTGGTGAGATCATGGACCATTGCAGCTTTGATCTCCCTGGGCTCAGGTGATCCTCTTACCTCAGCCTCTCTTGTACCTGGTACTACAGGTATGTGTCATCACATCCAGCTATTCTGTGTTTTTTATAGAGCCGAGGTTTTGCTGTGTTGCCCAGGCTTGTCTCAAACTCCTGAGCCCAAGGATCCACATGCCTTGGCTTCTTAAAGGGCTGGGATTATAGGCATCAACCACCATACCCAACATTCTTAGCTTTCAAGTAATTGGATTTCAGTTCAACCTGCATAGTTATGGCACATTTGTAGTTTATGAGTATGATACTGTTTATTTTTTCATATTAACTTTAACAAACTGCTCTTCCATCTTAGGTGTGTGGATCAAAAGCGGGAGCTTACATTCTACCTCTTTGATTTTGACCTAGTGACTCAACCTGGGACTTAATTTTTTTATTTTTAGTTTTTATTTTTTGAGACAGGGTCTCTCTCTGTTGTCCAGGCTGGAGTGCAGTGGTGTGATATTGGCTCACTGCAGACTTGACCTCCCAGGCTCAAGCAATCCTTTCACCTCAGCCTCTCAATTAGCAGGGATCACAGGCACACACCACCATACCTGGCTAATTTTTATATTTTTTTTAGAGATGGGGTTTTGCTGTGTTGCTCAGGCTGGTATTGAACTCCTGACCTTAAGCGATCTGCCCACCTTAGCTTCCCAAAGAGCTAGGATTACAGGTGTGAGCCAACTGTGGCAACCTGGGATTTTAAATTAGAAACTCTTCTATCCAATTGAGTATCTCTCCCTACTTTATTAATCATCAGATATTATAAGCTCATATTCTATGTTTTCATCCAACTTACCCAGAAGAGAGAGGGAAAAAGAAAGACAATTTTTTTTAGTAATTTCTTTGTCAACCTAACCTCTTCTTTCATCCATATTCACTTTTTGACAAGGATATAAATGTTCATCTTGTGTGCTGTAATTAAAAATCAGTATATACTATGTATACGGCAACTCTCTGAGCTACCAAACTTGTAACTCCCTGAGCTACCAAACTGGCAACTTTTTTTTTTTTTTTTTTTTTTTTTGAGACATGGTCTCATTCTGTTTCCCAGGTTGGAGTGCAGTGGTGTATTCACAACTTACTGCAGCCTCAACCTCCTGGGCTCAGTTGATCCTCCCATCTCAGCCTCCCCAGTAGCTGGGACTACAGGCATGCACCATCACACCCGGGTAATTTTTGTACTTTTTGTAGAGATAGGATTTTGCCTTGTTTCCCAGGCTGGTCTTGAACTCCTGAGCTCAAGCGATCTGCCTGCCTCAGCCTCCCATAACACCGGGATTACAGACGTGAGCCACCATGCCCAGACCAAAGTGGTAACTTTACTGAAAAATAAATGAAATAAATTGCCATATTAGCCTTTTCCCTAACAGCTTTCAAATGGCACAATCCACCATCACACACTCACACACAGAAACTGTTCTTTCCTTCTCTTCATTTTGAGAGCACTCAGAAAAGTTTTTATATTTTGGAAAGACCCCTTTCACTCCCCACCCGTGGGTTTTCTGCCGTCAGCATGCTGGTTCATGAAGACAACTCCCCAGAGCACTAGTGGAAAGATGCTCGGCAGCTCCTCCAATCACATGCACCTCACATGTTCTGCCACAGCTCAGTCATGCATTGTGTGCTGGGGCTGCATGATATTTGATTAGGCAGGCAGGATGCTGGCAACCCCAGTGCCTTTTCAGACTTTCACTTAGTACACTTTTCTTTTAGTTTCCCTTTAGATTCTCATGAAAACACAGGTGAAAGTTTATAGTTGACATTGGGAAAAAACACAAGTTTTGCATCTAAAAATTTTGCCCCAAAAACATTATATCTGGCATTTATGTGACCTTTTTGATTTACAAAAATCAGACACTGAAATTCTAAAATTTCGAAATATTTTAAAGAATTGCTTAAACATTTATTTTTGATGTAAAATGTTTATTTTTAAGCTTTTCAAATATAAGAAGAATATAAGGAAAAAGTTACCCATAATCTCATGACATTGACAAAGATAGCCACTGTTATTGCCATTCTAATTTTATAGTTGAGAAAACAAAGAAGAGGAAGAGAGGGAAAAAAAGGAAATAAAATGAGCTTTTAGTGTTTTTTTCTCAACTTTAAGAAAAAACTCCTTAGAGGGATCCCCCAAAATTTTGTCAGCAATTTGCAGATATTCATATTCCTAATAACACATATTGTCAGGAGTACCATTGCTATTTCTGAACACCATGGTGTTTCAATGGTCAGTAAGTTTTACAGAGCTCTGATTTCCATATCACAGAGGAAAACTACTTAAAGTAATATTTTATAAAAGTTACCATACTACATTACAAAAAATCTTGTAAAATAGTGAAAAGAAGGACATTACATACAACCCTAACACTTTAACAAAACCCTATTCATATTTTAGTATACTTCTTTCTGTCCTTTTCTCCCATTCTAAATTTTTTTTTTTTTAAGTTTTATTTTAAGTTCAGGGGTACATGTGCAAGATGTGCAGGTTTGTTACATAGGCAAATGTGTGCTATGGTGGTTTGCTGCACAGATCAATACATCACCTAAAGCCCAGCATCCATTAGCTATTTTTCTTGATGCTCTCCCTCCCTCTCCCCCTGCTTCTGACAGGCCCCAGTGTGTTTTGTTCCCCCGATGTGCTCATGTGTTTCCATCATTCAGCTCCCACTTATAAGTGAGAATATGCTGTGTTTGGTTTTCTCTTCCTGTGTTCGTTTGCTGAGGAGAATGGCTTTCAACTCCATCCATGTCTCTGCAAAAGATATGATCTTGTTCCTTTTTATGGCTGCATAGTATTCCATGGTGTATATGTACCACATTTTCTTTATCCGGCCTATCACTGATGGGCATTTAGGTTGATTTTATGTCTTTGCTATTGTGAATAGTGTTGCAACAAACATATATATGCATGTATCTTTATAATAGAATGATTTATATTCTTTTGGGTGTATACCCAGAATGGGGTTGCTGAGTCAAATGGTATTTTTGCTAGGACAAATGGTATTCTTGTCAACATCACCAGATCTTATCTCTAAGGTCTAGAAAACTGTTTCTGTGAGTAAACTCAGAATTAGACTAAAAAGCTGAATCATACAAAGCAAACTCCTAAGGGACTTTTCTATAATAAGAAATGCCATTGACATGCATATCAGAAGTTGCTTTAAAAAGTCTGTTCCTATAGAAAACCGTGTATAAGAAGCCAAATTATAACCAAGTTTCTCACTAAACATAGACCAAAGGATGAAGGATGTTGGTGGTGGCTGGAATGATTTTAATGGCTTGTGTCGACAAGCTACATGACTCTGATGTATTCACATAGAAGGAATAAATCTGACAGGTGGTAGGAACATGTGGGCTGGCTGGACAGAGACCCTTCTCCATTAGACATGCTGGAGATTCACTAAACATTTCTCCAAATTGGCCTCTCTTGCCTCGACTCCATACACACTGCTTTCAATTCAATTCCATGGTATTTGTTAAGTATCTTCTATGTGTGAATCCTTATCCTGGGTTCTGGGACTATAAAAATGAATAAAAAACATCAGGTCCTACTCCTAATACCTCAAAGGCTGTTGGAGAAAACTGAACACATATATAATTACAAAATACTAAATAATGAGGGCTTAAGTGGTACAGGTCTAGGACATTTGGCCTGATGTCATGTCTTGCTTGTGAAATCTTAAGACCTAGCTTTGCCACTTACTAGCTTTGTGATGTGAGCAACTTATCTAACTTCACTGGGCCTTGGTTTGCTTACATGTTGATATAGCTTGGATTTGTGTCCCTGCCCAAATCTCATGTCGAATTGTGATCCCCAGTGTTGGAGGAGGGGCCTGGTGGGAGGTGATTGGATCATGGGGGTGGAATTCTCCTTTTCTGTTCTCATGATAGTGAGTGAATTGTCATGAGATCTGGTGGTTTAAAGTGTGTAGCACCTCCCCCTGCTCTCCCTCTTCCTTTCTTAGGCCATGTAAGACCTGCCTGCTTCCCCTACATCTTCTCCCATGATTGTAAGTTTCTTGAGGCTTCCCCAGTCATGCTTCCTGTAAACTGTGGAACTGTGAGTCAACAGAACCTCCCTTGTTTATAAATTAGCCAGTCTCAAGTAGTTCTTTATAGCAATGCAAGAACAGACAATACATGTGTAAAGTAGAGATAAGACAAGACACTGACTTATGAAGTTTAAATGAGATGATACATGTAGAAGCTATTAGAGCAATGTCTGGTGCATGATATGAAAATGAGCTATGATGATAAAATTAATTAAACCTCATGTTGGATATCAGCAATGTGACATGGGTAACCTGATATTTCAAACCCAGCACAAGGAGGAACATGTAGTCCAAACCCTGCCAAGCACTTTAACACAGATATATCCCATGACAGGCAGGAAATACATTATCAGGAAAGACAACATACTGGAAATGTATTTTGACTGAAATTTAGAAACATATCACTCAGGGGTCTTATATGATAGTGATATTTTTCTTACAATAGACACTTAACACACCTTCTGCTATACATTCTAGAAGTCCACAGAGGCATTTGGGCAGTTACAACATGTTAGCACAAAAGATGTCACTTTGATTCACTCTCCATTTTCAGTTCACATGGTCTGGGTAAAGCTCCAGACCTAAGACATCACTTACATACTGTTTCTTTCAGTGGCTGGTTCTGGAGAGGGCACATCACATAAATTTTCCAGTGTAAATCTCAGGGTTTTACTGAGAATGCTGAGAAAAATACTCTGGCTTTTTTTTCTTGTAAAATATTTGAACCTGAAAGTTTAGTAAATCATTTGCATCCATCTTGCGATTATGAGGAGATATCTTATCTGAGAATAGCATCCACAAAAAGGAAACAGAATGAACAAATGATAGAGATAACTTGAATCATGAAGACATTTGTTAGACCCCTATACCCAGTTGCACATCTGGCTGTTAAGTTACGTGAGCCGACACATAATCTTAAAAATTTAAGCCAGTTTGCATCAGGTTTTCTCTCATTTGCAGCCAATAAATTTTGATACAACTTCTACAAAATGCACTTAAAAATTAATTTATTTTGTCCTATGCTCATGGCCAAAGCAGATGCCTAATTGTTATTTTTCTCATACAACTAATCTACAAATATACATTGGGCCCTTGTTACAGGGTCAGATGCCACAAAGTTTAAGACAATTCCTTGTGCTACAATCTAATGGAATTCATAGTCTCTGTATTTTTTATCTCTTAATGGATATGTCTCCACTTCATCCAGATAAATTTGGATTAAGGAGTGGGTTGGTTATTCACCTCCTGTTCTCAACTCTAAGTTCATCCTCCTCTCCTCTACTCGATGTGCGGGGGCTGGAATTTTGACAGACCTCATTTGCCAGCCTCCCTTGCCAATTAGGTTCCCGTTAAGTTCAGTAAATGGGAAGCCCTGGGGTACTGGAAAGCGGGAGGGTGGAATTCTTTCCTGTTTCTAGTTCCTGAATGTATCATGCCTGTAGCAATAGGTAGCAGAAAGGTAACTGCTCTCTGTAGTTCTAATATTTGGCATCTACTTTTTTGCTCTTTCAGTTTTCTGATATCTTTATTACAAATTCCTAATATTAAATACACTCCATTTTTATGATTGGACCCTTGCTGATACTAGTACTTGATAGTAGGTGTGGTCCTAGGAAACAAATTCTCAAATTCTGACATTCTGGGATTGATTTGATTTGCTGTTGTTGTTGAATTAAGAGCTAAACACTTTGCCACTCGTACCCTATGGCATGCAGTGGCATCACAATTGATTAAATTATCATCTTTTCTTACTAGGGTTGAATGCCAATGAAAGACAAGCTTCTGGAGACCAAGTAGCTGTTGCATTTAACCATTATGGTAGTAAAGATGATTATAAGGAATGTAATCTGGGATGGCTGCTTCTGATTGCATCAGGGTACTTGCAGGAAGAAGATAACAAGTTTAGGGCTCTCACCTCAAATCATATTCAGAGCACCAGAGGGCTTCTAAGACTGCCCTGAAAGTACCTCTTACTCCTTCTAATTACAGGAATCACTAGACATGAAACATATGACTGAAAAATTCAACCCAAATCAATCATTCACAGACTGGGTAAGTCTCATATGTGAAAGTTTGCTCAGTAATTTGAAAGGAATAGGACTCTGAGACTGGGAATGGGGACATTTGGGTGGATTTGGATGAAACTGAGAATCTGAGAATGTTGAAACCCCCAAGCATCCCTGAGCTTCCCTTGATAGTGGAAGAAGCCTTTCATTTCTTGTCTGCTGATACTACCTTGTTTGAAAACCTGTAATAAGCCCATATGAGGGACTTGTCTTGTAAGGGAGATCCCGATTCTTTCTCAACCCCAGTGCTCCCAACTCTCATAGCCTTTATCTAGAGTCAGTTCCCAGAATATTCGGAGGTGAGAAGAGCAGAGTCTAGCTCAGGAGGAAGAGTCTTATACTTCAAAAGAATCATAAGATTTTGTTAACTTTACATTAGAGAAAACCAGGCTAATATGTATGAGGATGAATTCTAAAGATATTGGAGTCAGGAGCACAGAGTATAACATTGAATTGGTGCCAAATTAAGGTAGTCCTGATATATTACAGTTTCCACATAGTTTTGGACTTAATGTTGTAGATGATTAAAGTAATGTTATCATGCCTTCATGTAATTTCTTTACACATTGATTCTTGGCATGGTTATGTGCTTGCTTTGGATATTGAAACATTATTAGCAAATGAGATACAAACAGACTTGCAAAGCCCTTGCACATTGGGGGCTGTCTCTCTTTTTTGCTGTTTTTGGATTAACCTCTATGTTGAAGAAGCCTGGACTAACCTACTGAAGATATATAGTTTTACCAATAGTCAGCACCAATAAAAAGATATGAATGAAGCCATCTGAGACCAGCCATCTGGCAGCCAAACTGCTAACTGACTGCAAATGCAAAAACTTATCCTAAGTGACACCACGTAGACTACAAATGAGTTGCCTCCACTGAGCCCAGCCCAAATTGTTACCCTGCAAGATTATAAAAACCTAAACGGCTGTTTTAAATCACTAAGTTTTGGATAGTTTGTTATACAGCAAAAGCTAGCTGAAACAAATGTATTAGCTAGAGCAGCTGTGAATGGCACTATTTCCTTAGTTGACTGGCTGAAATTTGGACTCACTGGTAGGTTACATTCAATGATGTTGAGTTGCCAGAATTTCCCTGGAATAATGTACAGGAAGGATTCTAATGACTTAGGGAGATAGAAATAAGGGAGTAATTTATTATGTGTAACTGCACATCTTCCCTCACCACACTTGGTCCTGAAAGGGCTTAAGGAATAGTTTCTTCTCTAAAACATTGAGCTTTAGTGAGAGAAGCCCCAGCAACCTTAAACATGTTCAGGTGGCTGTTTTCTATAAGCCAAAGGTGAGGCGGGAAAAGTTGCCTGATTTCAATGCAGATGATGAGATCCCAGAGTAGCAATCAGATTTCTTTACCCACAGGGATAATCTTGGTGGTGGTTGACTCTAAGAATTAAATAGATGTGTAGCCTACCAAAGCATTACTTGATCTGTATAATAGAAACCAGACCTGAGATAACACATTCGAGAATTGCACATTCTTCCCCAGTTATAAAACTGGAATGAATTGGAGTATATTTTACTTAACTGTTCCATAACTAATAATTGTTAAATAGAATTTTTAATTAGCTGGGCATGGTGGTATGTGCCGGTAATCCCAGCTACTCAGGAAGCTGAGGTGGGAGAATCACTTGAGCCTGAGAGGTCAAGGCTGCAGTGAACCATGATTACACCACTGTACTCCAGCCTGGGAGACAAAGTGAGACCCTGTTTAAAAATAAATAAATAAAATAAATACAGCTTTTAAAGATTTTGGCTTAAAAAGGTTATCAATCTTCTAAAGTCACACAATATATAAAGACAAATCTGGATAATATTGAATTGTTCTGCTCACCTATATTATTTTATAAGGCAAGTTTCAATATAAACTTGAAAGAAAATTGACACAATATTCTCCAAAAAATAGACATAATTTGTTAATTGAACTCCATACATAATTATTAAGGAGGAAAGAATTCATGTTTCTTGGATGCTTCTTTTATGCTACATGCTTATTTTCATTTAATTCTCACAATAATTCTGTGAGAGAGGTGTTATTTTTAGGATGTCTGTAAGTAGATAAAGACATTGAGGCTTTAAAATATTGATCTTCTAAAAAATTGAATTATTAAGGAAATAGATCATACAGCTAGAGAATGAGTGGGGAAGGGAGGAATGATTGAAACATGGACAAACTCCAAAATAACAATGTGCACAGCAATAACTAGAATTTAGAAGCAACCTTGAGGGTAATAATCAAAGACATGAAAACTTAAATTACCATAACGTACCATTTTTTGACCTATTGATTTAGCAAAATTATATTTTAAAATATATCCAATGCTGGAAGGACACACTGATGGCAATGCAAACAGATCCTTTTCAAAAGTAAATTGACAATATGACTCAAGAGCCTGCAATATTCACATTCTTTGACTCCACAAATCCCTTCTCAGGTACCCGTCCTAATGAAATGAGATGTAAAAAGACATGCGTTATCTGAAATAGCATGATCTATCATTTAGGACATTGAACTGTATAATCTGAAGACTATTTAATTAAAGAGACTCTTTGCAGACGTGCGGGCCAGGTGTAGGGTACACTAAGGAGTAGTGCAGTACCCAAGGGATCACAGGAACAGTTTGTGTGTGTGTGTGTGTGCGTGTGCATGTGTGTGTTCCCACACGTGTATGTGTGCACGTAGGCACTCAGACATGAAAAGGGGATGGGAGAGAGCAGTTACTGGAACCCAGAGGCAGATGGAGCCATGTGTAAAGTGTCGTTCAACAACAGCTGTGACTTTTAGTTGAGAGAATTATCCAGCCAGCAGTGACCCTGGAAAGGGAGAGCCTGGAAAATAAATACCCCAGCATAGCCATTCTCCCATCCTCTGATCTCCTGCCAGTGTCCCCATTGGCTGAACACAATCAGAAGCCAGAGGACAAGGGAGCCCATTGATACAGTCCATACAAATCAGCTTCATAGGACCTAAAGCAGGGAGGAGAAGGCTGGAGAGTGGATCTGGCGGGTTAAATGGAGGATATCCAGCACAAAAGCTTGTAACTAAAGTGGCAAAAAAAAAAAAAAAAACCCAGAAGCAATTGTAATCTTCCATTAATAGGGGAACAGTTAATTCAATTTTGTCACAGCCACTCAGTAGAATATTATGCAGCCATTAAAAATGATATATAGGATATCTACCATAAGCTCACACTTGTCAGCACCTAAGTGTGAGCTTATGGTAGATGATATTTTTTTTGTTTTGTTTTGAGACGGAGTTTCACTCTTGTTGCCCAGGCTGGAGTGCAATGGCATGATATCGGCTCACTGCAAACTCTGCCTCCCAGGTTCAAGTGATTCTCCTGCCTCAGCCTCCCAAGTAGCTGGAATTACAGGCATGCACCACCACTCCCAGCTAATTTTGTATTTTTAGTAGAGACAGGGTTTCTCCATGTTGGTCAGACTGGTCTCTGACTCCCGACCTCAGGTGTTCCACCTGCCTTGGCCTCCCAAAGTGCTGGGATTACAGGCATGAACCACTGCGCCTGGCACAAAATTTTTTAACATGTTGGAACTATAGCCAAACTTAAATACATAAATGGACAAAGAGCAAAAACAAACAACAAAGATGAAAGTGTTCGTGCTTGGATGATGACATCATAGTGATTTTTGTTTGTCTGTTCTTTCTCAATTCCTCAAATTCTCCTGAATGCTATTTTTGCTCCCTTTGTAAAAGGTACTTATATATTTTTAAACAGATTAGAACTCATCTAAGTCTTTTAAGAATTGTCATTATATACATTTTAGCCCATTATATCAAGTGATAAAAAGTAAAAGTGTTAATAGTAGCTATTTTCCCAATATATAATGAGTATCAGAGGTGATCATGCATGAGGTATATATCACGTACCAGATATGTGGCAGAAATCTCAATCTCACTCTTTCCCTGCTCTCTAGGAGTCCAAGGGGCTGATAAAACATGTGCTCAGATCATCATAATAAAAAAACTGGGAAAGATAACTGCTTTACAGACGGATAAAGAAAGCATTGTTGCTCCCAAAGCAAAGAGTTCATATTCAATCAGAAATTATTCGCTGGCAGAGCTGGTGTCTAAAGGATGGATAGGATTTTGCCAGGGAGAATTGAGGTCCCAGAAAGAAGGTATTCTGGGTAGAGGGAAGAGTATAAGGCAAATCTCAGCCTCAGTGAGCATTTTTACTTTGCTGGAGAATGTAGCATATATGGGAGAACCCTGGGACACAAACCTATCTGATATACTTAGGCTAGAAATTTCTTGGACAGTAAAGCTCCCTGCTCCCTTAGGAGAAATCTGCAGGTAGATTATCTTGATAATGTCCCAGGACTATGGATGGTACATAGGGAAATTATTAATGATACTTGATTTTTATCAGGCATTTTACCTTGTGCCATACATGCTAAATTTAAAAAATTTAAAGCGTTAAGTGCCTTTAATTTTTTTTTTCTTGAGATGGAATCTTGCTTTGTTGTCCAGGCTGGAGTGCAGTCGCATGATCTCAGCTCACTGTGACCTCCGCCTCCCAAGTGATTCTCCTGCCTCAGCCTCCAGAGTAGCTGGGATTACAGGCATGTGCCACCATACCTATATATATGGGAACCATATGGGCATATATATATATACATATATATACACACACACACACACACACACACACACACACAGAGATGCACACTACGTATATACACACACACATACACACATATATATGTGTGTGTGTATGTGTATATATATATGGGTTTTTTGTTTGTTTGTTTGTTTTGAGATGGAGTCTTGCTCTGTCACCCAGGCTGGAGTACAGTGGTGTGATCTCAGCTCACTGCAATTTCCACCTCCTAGGCTCAAGCAATTATCCTGCCTCAGTCTCCTAAGTGGCTGGGATTACAGATGCATGCTGCCATCCCAGCTAATTTTTGTAGTTTTAGTAGGGATGGGATTTTACCATTTTGACCAGGCTGGTCTGAAATTCCTGGCTTTAAGTGATCCACCCACCTTGGCCTCCCAAAGTGCTGGGATTACAGGCATGAGCCACCTTGCCCTGCCAGGTCCCACTATATTGAAATAAAATGATGCTTAGAGGTCAACCAATGTATTCAAAATTGTATAACTCATACCTAGTTGAGCTGGGGTTTGAATCTCTGATACCAGAACCCCCAATAGTACTTCCCTGGGAAAGAGTGAAGTTAATTCTTTTTTTTTTTTTTTTAACTTTAATTTCTGGGATACATGTGGTGAACGTGCAAGTTTGTTACATAGGCATACAAGTACTATGGTGGTTTGCTGCACCTGTCAACCCATCATCTAGGTTTTAAGCCCTGCATGCACTAGGTATTTGTCTTAATTCTCTCCCTCCCCTTTCACCCTACCCCTGCTGGCAGGCCCCTGTGCATGATGTTCCCTTCCCTAGGTCCATGTGTTCTCATTGTTCAACATCTACTTATGAGTGACAACATGCAGTGTTTGGTTTTCTGTTCCTGTTAATTTGCTGAGGATTATGGTTTCCAGCTTCATCTATGTCCCTGCAAAGGACATGAACTCATCCTTTTTTTTGGCTGCATAGTATTCCATGGTATATATGTGCCACATTTTCTTTATCTATTCTATCACTGATGGGCATTTGGGTTGGTTCCTACTGTTTGCTATTGTAAATAGTGCTGCAGTAAACATACATGTTTATACATGTAGAATACTTTATAGTAGAAGTATTTATAATCCTTTGAGTATATACTTAGTAATGCAATTGCTGGGTCAAATGGTATTTCTGGTTCTAGATCCTTGAGGAATCACCACACTGTCTTCCACAATTGTTGAACTAATTTACACTCCCACCAACAGTGTAAAAGTGTTCCTATTTCTCCACATCTTCGCCAGCATCTGTTGTTTCTGAAATTAATTATTGACCAGCAAAGAGATCACACAGTATGTGTAACCAGTATAATACCACCTTAAACCCCATATTTTAGGAAATCAGGCACATTATGTGGTGTAATAAAAAATATAGGTTTGTTGCTCTAATTCCATCCCTTTCAAACTGAACAAGCAGCCTTAACCAAATTACTTAACCTCTCTGTGCCTCACTTTCCTTATCTGTAAAATGGAGTCAGTAATAGTGTCTTTCTTAGAGGGGCTGGAGATGATTCATTCCAATAGTATGTGTAAAATGCTTAACAATATAGGGCAATGGCAAGTACTTGATAAATGTTAGGTGTTAAGATGACATGCTGTAGTACAG